ATTTCTCCTCACAGAAGGTTTTCAATTAATAAATACAGGAGCAAGGCGAACAGGAAGCTCAAGGGATTGTCTGCCTGTATGCAGGTGGCCGACATTCCATCCCCAGAATGGCACTGTTTCCCAGTTGGGAATGGTCCCCAGCACTACCAGGTGTAGCCCTAAAACAGGCAAACAAAACACAGAAGCAAAGAAACACAAAAATCCAACTTGATAATCATTCATTCATTCATTCATTCATCATCCTGTTAATCGTCGATTACCTCGAGCAGGCCCCAGTAACGTCTCTTTCATCCTAGCCCTGAGATTATATTCAAGGCTTTTTAGGAGAATGAGACCCATCATTGTTACTGGTATTTGGCATATTTGGTGCACCACGGGGAGTTTGCCAGACTCTGCCCTGTGGGCAGGCTATATTCGATAGCCTGCAAGTTTGTCCAGATGTTCTGATAAGATGTCGCGCGGCCGCAAATGCGGCCGCGCGGTTCCGGGAGCTGCATTTTGTAGTCTCTGAGTCTTGGCCGCTGATGGGATTACACGGCGCCAGGGGGCCAGGTGGTGGGTGTGACCCCCGCCTACTGGAATTTGGAGGATCTGGGTGGAGGATGCTCGACTCCAAAAAAATAATTTTTGCAATAGCACAGTGGTAGGGGGGGGCAGTCAGTCTCCTGCCCCTGCGCCTGGCTGTTCCTCACCGGGGTCCCTTGGAGGGGAGCGGGTTGAGCTTTTCTCCCCACCCCGACCAGGGCTCCGGCAGCCGAAGACCTCCAGGACCAGCCACCACCATGCTGAGACCACTCTCCGCACACATGAAGGTACTGGCAGAGGGACAAAGCCACGCGGGTTCCGCGGCCAAGACCTCCAAGCCTACTCGAATTGGAGTCGAGCATCCTCCACCCAGATCCTCCAAATTCCAGTAGGCGGGGGTCACACCCACCACCTGGCCCCCTGGCGCCGTGTAATCCCATCAGCGGCCAAGACTCAGAGACTACAAAATGCAGCTCCCGGACGAGACCAGTGCAGTCAGTCTCCTGCCCCTGCGCCTGGCTGTTCCTCACCGGGGTCCCTTGGAGGGGAGCGGGTTGATAATCATAAACTGAATAAATGTACATGTAATATCTACCAGTTACTGAAATTAGCAGGGAACAGTCTGAAGAGAAACAATATATGCAAAGTCTTCCACAAGATCCTAATCAATTACAAACAGTTCTAATCAACTGGAAAAAGAAAGCTAGTAACACTTCAGCGAAAGACCTGCAGAAACCAACTTAACCAACTAATCAAAGTAATTGTCACCATTTCTATATCAGAAACTTTCTGGCATGAAGAGAAGAAATACATTTTGGTATTCTTTTTTAATATAACCTCAAGATTTAATTTTCTTCATTAATAAAGATAAAGCTTAGAATTGGATCACTTAGCCCTTTGTCTTTCCCCAGTTAAATTCATTTGCATCTCTTTTAATGTTTTTGGTTTTGGTATGTAAACCACACCCAGCAGTACTCAGGTCTGACTCCTTTCTCTGCACTCTCCAGGCAGTGCTCGGGGGACTCTACGGGGTGTCAGTGATCGAACCCAGGTTGGCTGTGTGCGAGGCAAATCCCCTCAACACTGGACTACCGTTCTGGCCCCTGTTTAATAGTCATCGTTCTCTTAGATCTGCAGTAGGGTGCAACACATTCAATCCTCAGTACAATCTTTCTTTCCAGAAGACAGCTTAGCCTGACCTCCATAATCACTCTGCTTCCTGTCATAATGCTACCTTCCCTGAGCATACAGAGACTCCTCCTTGGCATTCCTGTGTGTGTATCTTTTGTGGGCTGATGGTTTATTTCTAAATTTCACTGAGGGCCCAAAAATAAAGTATAGAGGGGGTTAAACTGCTTACCTTGCAGGTGGCTGACCCTGGGTGATCCCCAACACACCATATGCATAGTATTCCTAAAGCACCGTCAGGAGTGACCCTTGAGCATGGCCACATGTGGTCCAAAGACAGTATAAGGGGTAAAGCACTTGCTTTATATAGGGCAAATCCCCACTGCTAACTATAGTCCCCAGGCACTGCCAGGAGTGACCCCTTGCTCACAAAGCCAGAGTCAGGAGTAGTCCCTGACCATTGCCAAGTGTGGCCCAAAAATTAGAAACAAATTTTAAAAAGTCCAGTGGGATTAAGAAATATTCACCATGCTTGTGATGGATAAACTGATGAACAGTCTATAAAATAGTTGTGACTAGCAACCTTAAGTGTCACAATCATCAAAGATAGAAGCCAGAGTAATAGGACAAAAGGTAGTATTTGCCTTGCACACTGCCAACCCAGGTTTCATTCCTGGTACTATATATGGTCCCCCAAGCTCCACTAGGAGAGATGTTTGAGTGCTGAGCCAGGAATAAACCCTGAGCATAGCCAGGAGTAGCAAAAACAAAACTAAACAAAACCCCCCCAAAAAAATCATCAAAGAGTGACTGAGGCTCAAATACAAGGTAGAAGAGACTATAGAGAAACAACAACTAAATCTAATGTGGAATCCTGGAACAGAAAAAGGACATTAGTGGAAATACTGGTAAACCCTCTTTAATAATGTAGTTATTGGTACTATTCCATCTATGTTAATTTCCTGTTCTTCGTAGTTATGTAAAATGTTAGTGGAAGGGTGTGAGAAATACAAAGCCATGCTTCTGTTTTTTTTGTCAAGTTTTCTTTAAGCCTAAAATTAGTTCATTTTAACCACCAGAGAAAACAGTATGGAGGTTTCTCAGAAAAAGTAAAAATAGAGCGGCCATATGACCCAGCAATTCCACTTTTGGTATCTACCCTAGAGGACACAAAAACATTCACCCAAAATGACATGTGCAAACCAGTATTCATTTCAGCACCCAGCATGATAGCTAGGATATGGAATCAATCTATGTGACAACAGATCCAACTGGATAATTTTAAAAATATGGTATATACACATAAAGAAATGCTATGCAGCTGCATTAAATGATGAAATTATGCAATTCAACAGCAACCTGAGTGGAACTAGAGGATATATTAAGTGAATCGGAAGGATAGATACCAAATGATCTCTCTTATTGGTGATATACAGAAGAGTAACAGGAGGAAAGGCTTGGTTTCAAAGTGGGGATACCCACAGTGACGGAAATAAGAATCACGGAAATAAGAAGGGCAGAAAAGTAAAGAAAATGGGAGGTGGGGTGTGCCTCGTGGGGAGGGAGGGGGAAAAGAGAGGAATGGGAGGTAATGGGTGGTGAAGAGGTGAGATTTATGTGTATATCTAAACTACGGAGCTGACAATACTGTAAGCATGAGGAGGTATGATGCCGCCAACAGATCAATCTGTTCCTGCTGGGTGAGTGCATCAGCAGCCCGATGGTGCCTTCAGACTTCCTGACACCCCAAAATTGCCACTGTGCCTTTGGCCAGACCTCAACAACTTAGAACCAAGTTTACCAAGAAATTAAACAGCCAAAAGTTAGGTATGTGGGAGCCATGCTCACAAACCACCTCTGGCTCAGCTATAGAAGCTCATTTATTGGCCTTACTTCAGAGACCCATAAATAAATCTCGAACGAGATCAAAAGCTGCAGTTAATCTCGGACCCATGCAAGGCTAAACAGACCAGGGTAAATCACAGGGGGGCGGGTTAGACTGGTGCCTGCCCAAACAGAGTCCCAGGAGCCACTTGCTTGCACATGACTCCACCATCTCAAGATGGACCTCACCAAGATATTATCTGCTGAAAACGCGGGTATGTGGCTTTTGTGACTGAAATCTCCAGGCTTTCTCAGGGTCAGGATGAGCTGGCTACCTTCCTATACTTCCAGAAGCCTCGGCAGTCACATTCACACCTCAAAGCTGTCACCCAACTGAAAAGCTACTCCAGCCTTACCATCCCAATAAAAACACTGAATGCCCTGAAGAAACACCATGACCCCTTGGCACCTGTACTGCAAACCAAAGTGCACAAAGGGAAAAGGAGAGAGAGCAAGAAGGAAAGTGCCTCCCATAGAAGGAGGCTGGGGGTTCGGGGATGGGGTGCTGGAGGATGGTAGGAGGGGAACAGGGGGCATTGGTGGTGGGAAATATACACTGGTGGAGGGATGGGTGCTGGATAACTGTGTGACTGAAACCCAATTATAAACAGTTTTATAATGGTCTATCTCACAGATATTCAATTAACTTTTTTAATTAAAAAAAAAAGTAATGTGGAGTTCATGCCCAATTCAATCAGCAAATTCAATGGCTGAATAAAAAGCAGTACTCCACCATTAAAAAAAAAATACTGTAAGCATGAGATTTTAAACTACAATAACCAAACTTAAATATGTGCCTGTTAAGGAGAAAGGCTGGAGGGGGGTGGGTTTGGTAGGAAACTGGGGACATTGATCAAAGTCAACACTGGTGACAGAATTGGTGTTGGTACTATATGCATAAAACTTAATTATAAATAGTTATTTAAATCAAGTGTCTTAAAATGTTTAAATTCGTTTTTAATATAAAATGTTTAATGTATAAAAAATAAAGTAAAATCAGTTCACAGAGTCAGAGAGACAGCTCAAAGGGCAAGAGTGCATGCAGGAGACACAGGCTGAACTGCTAGCACCACCTAGGTCCTGATAACCACTGGAAAAACCCCCAAGCTCAGAACCAGGATTAGCCCTTGAGCACCACCAGGTGTGGCCCATGCTCTCCCCACCAAAAAAAAAAGATAGATAAAATTAGTTCAAATAAAGTTTTTTAAAAGGGAAGGATGACAATACTGTTTCTATTTAGTACACATGCTAATATCAAAGACCATTTATACATTATAGGACCAAATACAAATTGATGAATTAAGAAATGTGAAATGTCTCCCAAAGTATTGTAGTTACACAACTAGAAATAGCACAGAATCCTAATTTTTTAAAGATGTATAACAGTAGGTACAAACAGGTCATTATAGGCAAACAGGACCTTTGGTCACCCTATTAATATAGAGCAAAATGGTCTGTGTTATTTTCATGTGGAAATGCCTGCTCCCTCTTCTTTTTGGGGCAGGAATACATCCATAACATGCTATATTACAAATTTTTAAAAAGTAGTCCAGTGCTACCAACCTTCTATAGAGGTTAAGTAGTTTATTTCTCCTACACACACACACACACACACACACACAAAGTGGTATATGTTATTAAAGACCTCAAGTCAGTATGATTAATCATAAGCCTGATGCTGATCCTCCTTCAAGCTCTGGAACAAACATCCCTAGGGAGAGAGCCAAAAAGCTGGCCCAAGTTTATCCCTAAGTAGGCTATGAAAAGTCTATATAAAAGAAACAAAGCCAATGTATTACTTATAGGCTTGGATCTTTTAATAGCTGTCACTGTCATTGTCCTCCCATTGTTCATCAATTTGATCAAGCGGGCCCAGTAATGTCTCCATTGTGACACTTGTTACTGTGTTTGGCATGAATGCGTCACGGGTAGCTTGCACGGTTTTGCTGTGCAGGTGAGATACTCTCAGTAGCTTGCCAGGCTCTCCGAGAGGGGTGGAGGAATCAAACCTGGGTCAGTCAGGTAGGCTGTGTGCAAGGCAAACGCCCTACCTGCTCTGCTATCGGCATTTAAAGGAGACCAAGAATGCAATCACTGATTTTCCAGAGCAGCTTTCAGTGCCTTCCCTAAACAGGACCATACTCAAGTCCACTCTCCCAATCACAAAAGGTAATAAGGTAAGGTCAAATACTCTGCTGTGTGCTTCTGAGATCGCATTTATTTCATAGAGCTGCCAAAGTCTAAAATTTCTGAAAAAAGATCAACATTGGTATCAGTCTCAAGGTATCAGTCTCAAGGACTCAACATTCGGTACTTGATGACATTGTAATACTACATAGGTAAGCTATGGTCTTTTGCTTATTTAGTAAGTCATACTAAAATATAGTCATAACTTTTAAAAGTAGTTATCATAAAAAGTCAGCAATTCTGAGACTGGGAAGAGGGCTGGATGCAGTGCATGACTAGTATGCACAGGGTATTAGTTCAATCCCAGTCACCAATGCCTCCTGAGCACCACCAAGTGTAGTCCTGGTATACCCCAGCACACTGGGAAGATTTCCCCCACCACTACCACCAAAAATTAAAAACCAACCCCCCCAAATTAGCAACTTTATTCCCACATTTTAAGGGAAGGTGGGGGGGTTGGAGTTTGAGCCACACCCACCAGTGCTCAGGGCTTACTCCTGCTGTGTCCAGGGACCACTCCTGGTAGGGCTTAAAGGACCATATGTGTGGTGTCAGAGATTGCATGGGGTCAGCTGCACAGGAGGCAGGCACCTTGAACCCATACAATCTCTCCAGTTCCACAATTACATCTTCAGAGAATAGCACAATAGTTACATGTCTTTGCTTTTGATGGATTTTTTTTTTCTGTTTTTACTTTAGGAACACTTCTGACAGTGCTCAGGGGTTGAGTCCTATCTCCGAGCTTAGAGAGTCACTCCTGGCAGTGCTTGAGGGATCAAAGAAGCTCAGTGATGGAACCAGGGATTACCACTTGTAAAACAAGCGCTCAAGTCCTCTCAACCATCCCTTCAATCTTTATAGCTTTTGTACAAGATTATCACTAATATGAATCTAATCTGGTTTATTTTTATTTTTATTTTTTATTTTTGGTTATGGGGCCATAACCAGAAGTGCTCGAGTTACTACTGGCTCTGAATTCAAGAATCACTCCTGGTGCACTCAGGGTACCATATGGGATGTGTGCCTGGGGACCAAACCCAGGTCAGCTGCGTGCAAGGCAAGCACTATCAACCTGGTCTCTTTATTTTTAATTTCTTACAAAAATTTTACTAACAAGAGGTAAAACCTTCTTGAGTGGTTTTCTAAGCATTATTCAAAAAGTGAAAATGACTGGCTATTGATCACACAAAAGACTTTACTCAATAGGTCACATTTTATAAATAGCACCCCTAAATTTCAACCCACTTAATGGATTAAAACACCTGACATGGGGCCACTTGTCTTACTTGCAGCCAACCCTGGTTCAATTCCCAGCACCATATATGGTCCTCCAAGCACTTCCAGAAGTGACCTCCAGCACAGAGCCAGGAGTTAAATCCTAATCACTGTTACAAGACAGACAGATGCGGATGCTTGTCGTCAACTGCCTGTGGCCTGTCTGACCATACTGTATGGCCCAAAAAGGATGCTATAAATATCCAAATGGCCCATGGCAAAAAGAATGTTCCCCTGGAACCAAGGTCATGGTTACTCTTTTGTTTTCTTTCAAAAGTTTTATAATCTTAGTTCTTACATTTAGTTTTCAAATCCTTTTTTAATTTTTTATGTACAAGTTCAATTTTTTTTGCAGTGCCAGAAATTGAATATAGGGTTTCATATATGTAAGGCATGTGTTTCACTGCTAAACCACATCCCCAGTCCCCAACCAAATTCTTTTACTTGCGGATATGTAATTGTCACAGTACCATTTGAAAGAGTATTGTTGCCTCTTTGAATTATTGGCACCTAGTCAGAAATAAATAAATTCCATTTCATGTGTATGTTTGTGTGTATGTTTGGGTCACAACCGGAGCTGTTCAGGTCTTACTGCTCCTAGCTCTGTACTTAGGAATCAGTCCTGGTCAGGTGTAGGAGCCTGGGTGTCAGGGATTGAACCCAAGTAGGCAGTGTACAAGGCAAGTGCTCTCTCAAAAATACCTAAGTCTCCTTTGTACTCTCTCTCTCCAGTATCTCTCTGCTCTTATTTTATTTTCTTGTTGTGGTGCTCAGGGCTTACTCCTGGCTCTATGCTCAGGGATCACTGCTGGTAGTGTGGTACTTGAGAAGACCATATTTGGTGCCTGAGATTAAACTGGAGTCAGTCATATGCAAAGCAAATGCCTTACCCTTTATACAATCTCCCATCTTTGTTTGTTTTCTATTGGTAAAATGATATGAAAATTGTACTGGGGGTAAAGACTGGGCTAGAGTCAGAACCAGTGCTCAGCACTACAACCAACTCTGTACTCAGGAGTGAATCCTGGCAGTGCTCAGGGGACCTATGTGCTATCACAAATCAAACTGGAGTTGGCTGCGTGCAAAGCAAGCCCCTTATCTCCTGTCCTCTCTCTCCAGCCCTTAAGACAGTTGAAATGACACTCTAATAAAAGTGCAAAGTGGGGCCTAGGAACAAGAGAAGTGACACCCAAGGACTAAGCTTGGAGTAGACCATAAGCACCACCGGGCATGATCCATAAAACAGTAATTTTTGTTTGTTTGGGGGTGATACCTGAGTCTGCACTCAGGGATCACTCAAAGTGGGACAGGGGGTGATCTGAGGTGCCGGGAATCAAATTCAGGTTGGACATGAGTAAGGCAAGTAACCTGCCCACCTGTCTCTCCTGCCCCTAATTTTGAGAAAGACAACCCTGGGCCAAGGAGCTGGCTCAAAGGGTTAGAGTACATCTTCGCTCAGGTTCAATCCAAAGTACTACATGATCCCCAAAGCACTGCCAGAACAACCTCCAAGTACCATGCCAGGAGAAGCCCCTAAACAGCACCACATGTGAACCCCCAATTAATAACTGTTAAAATTTTTGGAAAATATGGACATTTCTCAAAAAACTAGAAACTGAGCTTCCTTATGACCCAGCAATACCACTCTTGGTAATATACTCCAAGGGCCCAACAGCACACTGCAGAAAAGTCATCTGCACTCCTATGTTCACTGCATTGCAGCACTATTCACAATAGCCAGAATCTGGAAGCAACCAGAGAGTTCAATAACAGATGAGTGGATAAAGAAACTATGGTACATCCACACAATGGAATACTAAACCTGCTAGAAAAAAATGAAGTCATAAAATTTGCTTATGGATGGACATGAAGAGTATCATGTTGAGTGAAGTAAGTTAGAGGGAGAGGGACAGACAGAATGATCACACTCATTTGCAGAATATAAAAGCACAATATGAGAATCCCCAAAGACAGTAGAAATGAGGGCCAGGAGGACTGGTCCATGGTAGGAAGCTTGCCACGATGGGTAGGGGGAGTGCAGTTAAAACAGAGAAGGAATAACTTCACAATGATAGTTGGAAATGATCACTCTAGACAAGAACTGCTGAAAGGAGGTAAAGTGATATGCATTTTACCCTTTAAGTAACATAGTAACAGTACTGAAAACCACAGAGCCTAAAAGAAAACCAGAAAGTATCTGCCACAGAGACAGGCTGGGGAGGGGGGGGGAGGGAGAAGGGGGAGAGCAGGGAAACTGGGGACATTGGTACACTGGTGAAGGGATAAGTGTTGGAACATTGTATGACTGAAACTCAATCATGAACTACTTTGTAACTGTGTATCTCATGGTGACTAAATTTTAAACTTTTTTTTCAATAACAGGGCAAAGAATTTAGAAAGACATTTCTCCAAAGACAAATAGTGAATAAAATACAAGGAAAAGGTAGATATTCAAAACCATCTGTTATGCAAATAAAGATCAAAACCACAACAAATCAAAACCCAGCGAGGTATTCAAGGGTCACTCCTGGCAATGCTAAGGGAACTGTGAGTGCCAATTATCAAATCCAGGAACTTGCAAGTGCCTAAGTTCTTTGAGCTATCTCCCAGGCCCAACCAGTTTTTAAAAAGAACTGATATAGATCCAGCTATGTGGTTCAAATGTAGAGCATTTATGAAGCTGAGTTCAATTCCTAGCACCTCAAGATCCCCCAAACATCAAGGCACCACTAGGGTTTTTTTGGGTTTTTTGGTTTTTTCTCTTTTGCTTTTGGGTCACACCCGGCGATGCACAGGGGTTACTCCTGGCAGTGCATGGGGGACCATATGGGATGCTGGGAATCGAACCCGGGTTGGCCATGTGCAAAGCAGACGCCCTGCCCGCTGTGCTATTAGTCCAGCCCAAAAATATTATATATATATATATATATATAAAATGTGGCCTGAGCGATAGCACAGCGGGCAGGGCGTCTGCCTCGCACACGGCCAACCCAGCCGACCCAAGTTCAATTCCTCCGACCCTCTCAGAGAGCCCGGCAAGCTACCAAGAGTATCTCGCCCACACGGCAAGGCCTGGCAAGCTCCCTGTGACTCTATATGCCTGTATATGACTATATGACTATATGACTCCCTGTATTCA